AAATAATTTTATTGCCCAACAGGGCATTTACAGGACAAAATACATGAAATAAATGTCAAATAAAATATTTCGACAGAAAATAATTTTAGCAACTAACAGCAAGAAAAAAAAAGAAATGAAAGAATCCTAAATACATTAGCTACAAATTAGTACAATTAATGGTCGAAATAAATATCCCAATCAGAACAAAATTAATTAAAATTTGAGCACATTAGCGTTATAGGCTAATTTCTTCCAAGTTCGTTCGAATACTTGCTGTATAAAATGTTTTATGATATCTAATGGCTGTTTGGGGAATATTAAAATTTATTTGATTTATCAAAAATGGTACATCAATAGTGTTATGTAATATTTTATAAAGAAATGTTACACTGGAAACTACCTTCTATTTTCCAAAGAGAAGCAGAGATTGTTCAATACCTCAAATGGGATCTATTTTAAGAGAAAGGTACTTGAGAAATCGCCGCTGAACATTTTCCAATGATCTTTTATGAATATTGTAAATAAGGTTCCAGATAACAGATGCATATTCTAGCTTGGAACAAACTAAAGAAAAGTAAAGGATGAGAAGTCTGTATATATTACGTCAATTTTACCTTTCTGATCGTCTACATCTGAACAATATATGTCCGAAAATGCTTCGTTTTTGAAACAAGCAAAAAAGTTTATTTTGATGTCCCCTAAAAGTTTGTTGGTATATTTACAGGACCCTTTGTATATTTAAATCTGTACAATGTAGGTACTCATCAGATTCTTGTTTACAACTAAAAATATAATAAAACAGAGATCAAAAAATAAAAATAATAGTTATCTATATATAGATATTTATAGTTATTACAAAATACATTATGGGCAGGTTGTACAAAAAATATTCTCAACTCATTTTAACCAACAAGAGTTTTATTTTTAACTAGTTATATTCAAAACATATGTCATTTTTAAAACTATGTTTCACAATAACCGATGAGTATACAACAAGGTTCACAGTTTAAACTAAATCTACATTTTAACTGCCTATTGTACAACCAGCCATATGTACATTTAAAAATTAATTGTATTTCTTTAAAATGCGTTTGATGCTGTTGATTAAAACCATTCGATAAAAAAATTAAAAAGTATGGGTATAAAGGTGGTTTTTTATATCTATGCTATAAAGCATGAATTGGAGTAGCATGTAGATTATCTAAGTAACAGTGGCGGTTTGCCCGTAAGGGCACTTTGGGCACGTGCCCTATGCCGCGTTTGAGAATCCACATCGGATGCATTTTTTACATCTCGAGCTTTTTTTTATTCACATAGGACACATCTGTCCCATTACATTTACGTATACTGAATCACGTGATCAAAGATTTTTTACATCTCAGATGCATCCGATGTGGATTCTCAAACGCATTGCTAGTATAATAAACAAAAAGAAAAGAAATAACTTACAAATTTTATATTTTCCTCAATGCCTATTATTATTTTATCTAATAATTTTGTTTTCTCTCTCATTATGATGCGAAAAACAAGGACAACGAAATATCGCTAACGTGTGTCTTTTTTTCCACCGGTTTGTTGGAATCGTTTTTTCGCCGATGCGGCCTTGAACGCCTTTTGTTGGATTCGATTTATTTATGGTTGACCGTTTAAATAAATAACAGTTGACATTTTGGATTAAAATTTGTGTTTATAATTTTATTTGAATGTACCTGTTTACTTTAATTTGGACGCATATATTTTTAAAATCCCTTTTTCGGTTTTCCCACAAAAAAAACAACTAAATAATTAATAAGTGTAAAGGTTAAAGAAAAGGTCCTTTATTTCTCACTTGACTTGTGAGAAATAAAGGACCTTTTCTTTAACCTTTACACTTAATCCCTACTACTCACATATGGCTACCCTCACTCCAAAAAAAAAAAAATTAATAAACTCCTTAATTCTGATTAATTCTCGCAATCCATAGCTATCAGTTGTCACATCTAATCGGCAAAACCATACATTGAAATGATGGAATGGTGTTGCATCGATTGCATCAACGTTGGATAAAAAAACAGCGCTGTTAGTTCATCATTGAAAGACAGGTAGATACAGCACCGATGCCAACAGTTGGATAAAAAGACACACGTTTAGCAAGAGATGAACACATGCGATGGATTATACGTCACAAACAGGGCGCTGTCCTCATTGTGACGGCACAGATTACCTAGACCAGATACGAATGTACGCAGCGGCATCTTTACCGGCGATGCCGGTTTCGGCTAAAGGTGCGCGTTTGTTGGACCATGATAATAATTTATTTATTGTGATTACGAAAAAATGTTAGTTGGACCATTGGAATGGTTAAGAAATAAAACTACAAAGAAAAATAACTTTTTTTTATCAAGCAGTCAAAAATATGATGAAAAAATCAATAATAATTATAAATGGGACAAAATTTTAATTTTTCTTTTGGTTTTGTCTGACTTTTTCGAGGATTTCAAATCTCTGTTTGCATATATTTAAGAGTATAAAAAATTCTGAGTCTTATAAATAATTTAATGGTGTACATTTTCGCAAATTGTTGGCAAGGATGACCAAATTCTATTTTGCTCATCTCAAAAAGGTATGCGTTGGAAATTCTAGGCTTAGTTGACAAACTATCAAATAGAGATATAAATATTTTTTCTAATTTGAAAATATAAAAGAGAAATTTTTCGCTGGGAGATTTTAAATTGCCAAACACCTTTTCTTCAGATTAGTATGCTTTAAAATGCGTTAACAAGTTAGAATTGTTAAGTAAATTGCATTCTTCTGAGAAATTTACGCAAATTTCGCAAGAGTGGATATGTAATGATTTTTTGATTAAATAGCAACATACATAGTTAAATGCATTTTGAGTGGTCACATTTAGCTCCCTGTAGTCACATTCAGAAATCGTTATTGCCCCCAACTGATTGTTTTGAAATATATTTAATTTTCATTAAGCGGAGAACTTGGGAAAAACGAATCCCGGGATTCCTTTCCAGTGTGTGCCCCACTGACGATGCCGCTAGTGCCAACAGACCGCCACTGCTAAGTAACACAGGTCAGAGAGGTTAAAATTAAATAACATATGCAGTAGGATTCTCATCTTTCAGTACGTCTCCTATCGAGACTCCTATCTTCGTTCGACAGACAGCGATTTTATTGTAATATCTCTCTCTATTCTGTATGTAATGTGTCGAGTTCGCACAAAAGAATCGCTGTCCTGATCAGAAGAAATTAACCAAATCAGGAAGAAAATTAGGTCCCCTGTTATTTTTAATTTATATTAATGATTGTTGATGTCGCAATAATCAATATATTTACCTGTTTGCCTATCGTAGGACATCGTGTCCGTATCTATGTTCCTTGTAAGTTGTAAGGATTTGGATAACTTAATAAGAGTTAATTTGTCAATGAAACTCTGCAAATCTATAAATGGTGTTGCAATCATTTGTTAAAAATCAACACAAATACCTAAAACAAAATATATGCTGATAAGTAATAACTATATGCAGTTTGTGGACAAACAATATAGGAAATTGGAAGAAATTATATAGTTAGTAGAAAAATTCAAATATTTAAGGATAATTATTCAGAAACAGAAGAAATTCACAGACCATATGCAAATACTGTTATCAAAACAATTGCATTTAAATTACATTTCCTATTTAGAATTTGATTATAATAATTGTTATATTATTACATTTTTTACTAAATTTGAATATTGTGATATTAGCAAACTAGCCAAAATAAAGAAAATAAAATAAAAACCGAAAACATACCTGGATCTACAATAATATATTGTGATGGTTTTAATTTATTATTATTTTATAATTAATTTATTATTTTATTTAATATTTTTTTTTTTTATTAATATATTTACTTTATTAAGGACCGATTCCACCGTTGTGTTAAACGGAGATTAAAATGACATTGTTAATGTAAAAATATTATTTTAAACTCCGTTTAACACAACGGTGGAATCGGTCCTTAGATATTATTTATTTAAGATATTTCATTCTTTTAACTTACCTTAAGATTCTTAGGGTCGATTCCACCGTTGTGTTAAACGGAGATTAAAATGACATTGTTAATGTAAAAATGTCATTTTAAACTTCGTTTAACAAAACGGTGGAATCGGTCCTTAGCCAGCTAGTCAGTCTTTAAAGCAAACAGATTCTCTCAAGGACGGTTCTGTCAAAATCGTGTTCTATATGACAATTTTTTTTTTAATTATTTTACCTTAATATTTTTTTATGCCTTAATAAAAATCGAAAAATCAAAAAACCGAAAAATCGTAAAATCGAAAAAGAAATTCCATAACGAAAATAAACCTAACACCCCCACTCCGACCGGCACAGCGTTGAAAGCCGTGCATTGTCTAACGTCGTTTCAGTTCGGCAGACTTCGGCACGGTGTTTGTGTGCGTGCGACTAGACGTATGCGTGTAGACTAGCTGCTAACTGCTCATAACACAATTTCGGTAAAATTGAATTTGAAAATGAATAATGATCCACAAGAATCCACAACAAAATATGGGACCACCATTGACGCGGTATTTTCCAGATATGTAGAGGATATCAAGTCTCAAACTTATGTTTCTTATTTCAGTTACCAAAAACCTATAGTTTCAATGATAAAAATTCCTGAATAACCTACATGTATTCTAAGATAATAATAATAATAATAATAATAATAATATACATTTATTTAATAAAAGAAAAAAAATTGTTTTCTTATCGGTCACCACGCTCAAAAAGTGTAACTTGAATTAATATCAAAGAAAAAACTTGAATTAATATCAAAGAAAAAAAAATACTGCATAAATAAATAATTATAAAAGTTGATAAAAAATGCTATGCACTAGCTTTACCGCGGCAGTCCCCGAGTGCCACACGTATTTTTTTTTTTTTTTAATGAACCAAACCACATCACAATTCATTTGAAAATCTGGTACATTTTACAGAATCTAGTATATTTTTATGTAATATGGTAAATTTTTTAGACAAATCTGGTACATAACAAAAATATATTCTGGCAACACTTAGCCACTATTGTGCACTTAGCAAGACATCACAAATAAAGAGGGTTTGTATTTTAATTACTCCTGTATTTACCTTTTACCTTGAGATCACATAAAATTTACATAATTTTTAAAAATCGGTTCAAAGTATGGAAACTAAATAATTTGTTTTACTTTTAATCCATAATATTTAAATAAAGTATATTATTTAACAATTTAAAAGTTATGGACTTTTGAATTTTTTTAGAATTAAAAACAATATCGGAAAATACACTCTTTTATTGTTTTACGTCAGTATCCTCAAATGAAAAGGTCAAATGAGAGGTCCGATTACTTTTAAAGAGAAATAATGTAATTGACATTTTATGTTGAATTTTAAAAACTTTAAAATTTGTATTCATCCATTTTGATTGCTGATTTTTGTCTTCTGGTCTTGCACATTTCAAAATTGTGTAAACCTCTGCATGTAATACTATTGGATAGCCAAGACTGAATTTTAATGCTATATAATAACAAATGTGTATAAATAATATATCATTTATTGTGTAACTTAGAAGACTGGAATTTTTAAAATTGTATATTAAATATTGCCATATTATATGAGCAGTATATAAAATTATGAAAACAAATACAAAAAATGAGTAAAGGTATATATAAAACAAGAAATAAACTAAAAACAACAATATATAAAGAATGATTAGAATAAAATAGATGAAGATAATTTCAAATATATTCTACTTCTACATGAGCTTTTTTCTATTCTACAGTATTTATACTGATATTCTTGCTTGGTTAATTTTTATGGAATTTATATAAAAAATATGCCATTCAAATTGACTAAAAATTACTTATTGTATAATGAAGAAGCAATTTTAAAATGGATACAGACTCAACTCTATCTTACTTATTGAGCTTCTAACTATACTTTTTATAAAACAATCACTAATCATAGGATATTTAAGAGCATTACTCTGAACTATACACTAGTAGATTTAAAAATATTTTTGGTAACTACCAAGCTGTATCCTTTTGTAATTGACTGTACATTTAATGTTTAAAAGAAAGAAATAATCACAAAGAATCATCACGTTTGAAAGCTATCCAAAAATTTATACTGTCTCTCAGAATAAGTCACCATCCAAGCCCATTTCCTCAAGAAAAAATCCCATTGGAGTTGTTCTAAGTCCCAAGTTTTCAACCTTGTTGACAATTTTATTCTTTAAATTTCTCAATCTCAATGAAGCATGTAAGAATATTGCTGAAAAAATTCACAGCTATATTTTATTTACAATATATTATAGAATCTTTACCTGCTACAGGTAACAGTATACCAAGAAGGAAAACCATAAGAGACTGGAGCATATATGCTATAAAATAACAACCAGCAAAAATGATGAAAAGTGAAACTATGGGATGCTTCCTCTTAAATCTAGCTGCACTTGCTTGTTCATTTGTGACATATATAAAAATCATGAAAATAACTGCAGTAGCTACAAAACCGCAGGCCATTTTTATTGGATGGATTACGCTAAAAATTTTAACAAAAATAATTTATCATTTATTCACTAGGCTAGTAAAACAGGTTTAGAACAATACTTACCCCACAATGATAAAAATTAGTATCGACATCAAAAAGTAATTAGTCTGATAATATAATAGGTTGTTTGTTACCCTGTTACCCCATCTTTCGACATCTTTTACATTGGGAACTTGAAAACGAGCAGCTTCTAAAATAAAGTCGCCTAAAGGTCTTAAAGGGGCTATCTCAAAATCGGATGTCGATTGCTTTTTGTGCATTTTAATAAACTTTGGGATAACACTAAATTAAGTTAGAAGTTACAACTTTGATAAAATCTATTAAAAATTTTTTATAATAATTATTTTATTTATAAATAATGATCTCACGTCTAAATTCGATTTGATTTAGATTCTATTTATTAATTGTGACAAGTGTCAAAATAGGTGTCAGTGTCAATATAGGCGTGTTCTTTTATTCAGCGCTGTATTCAACTCCGAGCAATTACTAGTATTACTACCACATACTTTGATTACTATACGAGGCAAGAGCACATACTTTGATTACTATACGAGGCAAGAGAGAGGTCCGACACGCCCAACATAGGTCGCGGCTATTTTGAACCCTGTGACACTGTTTACAGCTAAAGAATCAGATCGCTCACTCTGCGTCGGCACTTTTGATCTCAATGTTTCAGTTTATACACTGTGCAACTCGGGTAATACAATATATGACAACCGCCAATAATAAAACAGCAGTCTTCTGCGTATCCTGAATTTGTATCCCTGGAGTGGATGTTATTTTGGAACTTTCAACTGGTCCGAGTGAGCTAACTGATTCTTTAGCAATAAACTGTGACTTCAAAAATAATATTCACTGACACTGACAGCAGCAAGCAAAATATCAGGTGCGTTTTAATCATCCGCTTCTGCTTCCGGAATTGTCGGTTTAGTTGTTTTAACCTGTCAGATTAAAACAAGAAAACCGACAATTCCGAAGCAGAAGCGGATGATTAAAACGCACCTATTAAAAATATTGCGCCAAGATGTAGGCAACACGTAATAAGAGTTCAAAATGGCGGAGTTTTCTATCTCCTTTTAAAAGGCCACATACTTTGATTACTATACGAGGCAAGAGAGAGGTCCGACAAGCCCAACATAGGGCGCGGCCATTTTGAACCCTGTGACACAGTTTACAGCTAAAGAATCAGATCGCTCACTCTGCGTCGGCACTTTGGATCTCAATGTTTCAGTTTATACACTGTGCAACTCGGATAATACAATATATGACAACCGCCTATAATAAAACAGCAGTCTTCTGCGTATCCTGAATTTGTATCCCTGGAGTGGATGTTATTTTGGAACTTTCAACTGGTCCGAGTGAGCTAACTGATTCTTTAGCAATAAACTGTGACTTCAATAATAATATTCACTGACACTGACAGCAGCAAGCAAAATATCAGGTGCGTTTTAATCATCCGCTTCTGCTTCCGGAATTGTCGGTTTAGTCGTTTTAAACCTGTCAGATTAAAACAAGAAAACCGACAATTTCGAAGCAGAAGCAGATGATTAAAACGCACCTATTAAAAATATTGCGCCAAGATGTAGGCAACACGTAATAAGGGTTCAAAATGGCGGAGTTTTCTATCTCCTTTAAAAGGCACTCAGAAAGCTGCGCAGTGCGACCATTCTCCGTATAGTAAAAGAAAATCAAAGTATGTGTAAAAGGCACTCAGAAAGCTGCGCAGTGCGACCATTCTCCGTAGAGTAAAAGAAAATCAAAGTATGTGGTTAAGCGTGTCGGACCTCTCTCTTGCCCCGTATAGTAATCAAAGTAGGTCTTTTCCTTTGCATCGAAAGTGTAGCACTGAGCTACACCACTTCTGAAAATATCGTTCCATTTATACAAATTGTATGGATGAACAATATTTTCAGAAGTGACGTAGCTCGGTGCTACACAATGAACTGGAGTGGGGTAGAATAGGTTCTTTCGTTCGTCCCACTGGTGTAGTTGGGTGTAGTAATGAACTACACCAACCCACACCCATACCTTTCGTTTGGTCCGGTGTAAAACCCACTATACCTTCCTGTCGGCGATGTGGTGTACACTGGTGGATATTTTCTCCACCAGCTATTTAGCAGGAGTGAATTACACTCGACGATGTGTATAAGGAATAAGGAGGAAGTAAATTAGGGTAAATAAGGTGGTGTAACTGGTGTAATTTACACTGGTGGACACTGCACCAACAGCGAACGAAAGAACCTATTGTTTGTCAATAGGCTTGAAATGCGACTCTATGGGCAAAGACAGGTTATTTTTCATCTCACTCGGTAGTATTTATAACAACCATTTTCTATTTCACTTTGTTATTGTCTGATCCACCAGCTTGTGGATTGAACAATAACAATGTGAAACAGAAAATGGTTATTATAGGCGAGTTCGGATAGTCAGGGGCTGGAGCGGGACAAATTTTAGGGTCCTTTTAAATGACATTTAAGCGTGTTAAACTGTCACTAATCGGACTAAACCGAACTCTAAAAGGGCTCTATCAAGCTAGCGGACACTCTGTGGCGGCACCATACAAGACCTGGTGGGTTTTTTGTAGCTTTTTTGTAGCTTTTTTGTTACGCTATTTGCGAATTTGTAGCTTTGTCCAGGTCCGAAAAAACAGCGGATCTGCTAGCTTGAATTTCCATAAATTCCATAGTAGCGGCACAGATTCAGACCCAGCTGGTTTTTCGTAACTTTTTTGTAGCTTTTTTGTTACGCTAGTCTCCCTTTTGTAGCTTGTACTGAACCTGAGAAAAGCGCGAATCCGCTAGCTTAGCGGATATTTGTAGCGGCACCAGCTCGGACTAGGCTCATTTTTTGTAACTTTTTTGTAGCTTTTTTGTTACGCCTGTCTCCATTTCGTTGCGAGGCCTGAACGTGAGTAATAATCGTTTCTCCATGAGCGTGAGAGAAAAGTGCGTTCATTTAAAATCAAGTTTCGGCCTCTACAAATAATATGTGCAACTCGATAGTGTGACTATCTGTTGATAGATGGCACCAGTATTGCATTTCACGAATTATGGCCATCTTCCATCCAATATATTTTTGAGAAATTTAGATATAATCTCAAAATCGGACATTTGTTTTTAAATGTTTTTTAGTGTTGTTTATGTACGTATTTAAACTTTTGTTGAATCCAGAATATTCTTACATCTTTTTTGAATGATTTCCTTAACCAATCGTTTTGCAGTATTTATGGACCAGTGTTTAATTCTGTCGGATCACAACTATACAGTGTGTTCCATCTCAGACGAGCCACCCCGTATTTCTTATCCGTAATTGGAAAAATTTCCCAAAACACGTCGGATGATTTTCTTTGGGGACATCGATCTTTTGACGTATATTTGAGGCTTGAACAAGCAAACATCATTTGTAAGGTCTTGAAAGCCTCTTTACAACGGTGTATGAAAAAAAATCACATTCTTAAAAAAAATTAATTGTTTTATCACATGAAATGATCGAAGAACAAAAAAAATGAAGGCAAGATAAGAAAATGTTTTGATTTTTTTTTATTTATTAGTTCGAGAGAATTTATTATTGCATGGAAGTCAATGGAAGACAAATTGAACATTTCATTTAAAAACGCAGTTTTTATTTTTTTGATTGTAAGCATGATAAAACAATTGATTTTTTTTCATACACCGTTTGTAAAGAGGCTTCCAAGACCTTATAAATGAAGTATCACCCAACCCCCCTCTTCCCTAATCAATTTTGAGGGGTTGAAGCGTCCCCTTATAGGGGGTTGCTCGTTCAAGCCTCAAATATATATATACGTCAAAAGATGTCCCCCAAAGAAAATCATCAGACGTGTTTCGGGAAATTTTTCCAATTACTATGGGATAAGAACTATACGGGGTGGCTCGTCTGAGATGGAACACCCTGTATATAGTGAGAATAGGTAATTGCTTGGTAGCTATTACCACCGGTGTGAAGTTAGCAGTAAGTTTTTAGCAGTAACAAGTATAAAGAAATTAAAAATTTAAAAAAACCGACTTCAAAAACGTTCCAAATTTATATATGGGACCACCCCGAGGTACCCCCTTACTAACAAAAAAAGAATCATATAAATCGGGCAAGGTGGTAAAGCATTATCGCTAAACATACATAAAAAATGAAGAGTTTGAGGATTTTCTCATGGACCCAATTATTAGATTTTGGCCAAATATATATGGTACCACCCCTGAAGTACCCCTTTTCTAACAAAAAAATAATCATTGAAATCGGACACCTTGTTAAAGAATTATCGCTGAACATACATAAAAAAAAAATATCGCGACGAATTGAGAACCTCATCCTTTTTTGAAGTCGGTTAAAAATAACCGAAAACACCCGATCGGCAAAATAGTGGCGTCCGGCATACAACTATTTTAATAATCTTGCCAATATGTATTTTACATTAATATCGGACAAATAATTAATATACATACCGTTGAAAATGTCCGATTTTGAGATATCTAAATTTCTCAAAAATATATTGGATGGAAAATGTCCATAATTCGTGAAATGCAATACTGGTGCCATCTATCAACAGATAGTCACACTATCGTGTTGCACATATTACTTGTAGAGGCCGAAACTTGATTTTAAATTAACGCACTTTTCTCTCACCTCATGCATTGCGTTCGGTCTGCCAAGTTCCTTTAACTCCTTTAACACTTTTAACTCCAAACGACCCTTTTAGCGTTCGGTTTAGTCCGATTAGTGACAGTTTAACACGCTTAAATGTCATTTAAAAGCACCCTAAAATTTGTCCCGCTCCAGCCCCTGACTATCCGAACTCGCCTATTGAGAAACGATTATTACTCACGTTCAGGCCTCGCAACGAAATGGAGACAGGCGTAACAAAAAAGCTACAAAAAAGTTACAAAAAATTAGCCGGGTCCGGGCTGGTGCCGCTACAAATATCCGCTAAGCTAGCGGATCCGCGCTTTTCTCAGGTTCAGTACAAGCTACAAAAGGGAGACTAGCGTAACAAAAAAGCTACAAAAAAGTTACGAAAAACCAGCTGGGTCTGAATCTGTGCCGCTACTATGGAATTTATGGAAATTCAAGCTAGCGGATCCGCTGTTTTTTCGGACCTGGGCAAAGCTACAAATTTGCAAATAGTGTAACAAAAAAGCTACAAAAAACCCGCCAGGTCTTGAATGGTGCCGCCACAGAGTGCCCGCTAGCTTGATATAGCTCGCTAAAAGGGTCGTTTGGAGTTAAAAGTGTTAAAGGAACTTGGCAGACCGAACGCAATGCGTAAATACTCCCAAGTGAGATGAGAAATAAAAATGGCTGCGCCCATAGAGTCGCATCTTGTTTTATGATACAAAATAGGTCTTTTCCTTTGCATCGAAAGTGTAGCCACAGCTTACACAATACAGCTAAAACACTCTCTTGGCGGCAACGGT